GTTAAATTAGGGCCTAGACAAATTCCTTTGACCACCTCTTTATAAACCCAAGCCCACCCATGGCCTTATTTACCATGGTAGAAATGTGTTCAGAAAACTTGAACTTTCGGTCATCAACCAAGGTAATTCTCTCAAGAGAACCACCGCAGTGGCTATAAGGAGCCAAAAGGGGGCTGTAGCGATGAAATGTCATTACTTTGCATTTCGAGGCATTTAGGTGTAACATATTTGCACAACACCATGACTGAAAGTTATTGAGATCGGATTGCAAGCGAGAGTGAAATGAAATGTCCTTATACTGGACACAAAGTTTAACATAATCCGCATACATGACTACTCGAAAGTTTGTTAATACTGAAGGCAGATCATTAATAAAGAGTGTGAATAGTAGGGGCCTAGATGGCTGCCCTGTGGTACTCCAGAAGTAACCTTAACACGTGAAGAGAAGGAGTTTTTGAAGAGGATTCTTTGAGACCTAGAACGAAGGTAGCTAGAAATCCATCTCAAAAGATTAGTCGGAAACCCCAAAAGGTCAAGTTTTTGTGCTAAAAGGGAATGGTTTACAGAATCGAATGCTTTACTAAAATCAGTTTAAATGACATCCGTTTGCAAGTTACCTTGAAAGCCTTTAATGATAAAAGAGGTGAACCCTAAAAAATTTGTTGTCGCCTTATAAATCCGTGCTGGGACGGAGATATAAGTGATTTGCAGGGATGTTGCAAGTGCGGAGTTAAAATTTTTTCAAACATTTTAGGAATAGCGGATAACTTAGATATACCTCTATAATTATTTGCATCAGACTTGCTACCTTTCTTATGGAGCGGAATAATAAAAGATTCCTTCTAGATGGGGCGGAAGCATGAAGAGTTAATGGATAGGGTGAATAGTTTAAGCAAGGGTCCACACAGAGCGTCGGCACAGTACCTGAGTACACAGCCGGGAACTCCGTCGGGACCTGGTGAAAACAAGGGCTTAACTAGTCGAAGATCTTGAAGCAGTGAGCTTTCGACCTTTGTAAACTGTATGGATACGGCTGACCAGAGTAGCTTTCATGAGAATAGGTTGTTTGGAAAAATTTGGCAAAAAGATCGGCAATTGCCTGATCATTGTTTGCTGACATATTGAGAAAAGATAACGAGGATGGATGTGCGGACGTTCTACGCTTACTATTTACGAAGCTGTAAAACTGTTTAGGGTCCTGTGAAAATCGTATCATGCATCGTGATAGGTAGTTTTTATAGCATTGAGCGTTAAGAACGGAGAAATTTGACCGAGCTATTACATAGTGAGAAAGAGAAGAGGGAGAACCAACATCTCGAAATTTTTTATAAAGTCTTGATTTTAAGGTTTTTAGACTGGATAACTCTTTGGTAAAACAAGGAGGCTTTTCAGATCTAACCGGACAAGAAAAAGGGACACAAGAATCAAAAAATGTGTCAAGTACATTTTAAAAAATGTTTGTGCCTTTCATAACGTCAGTGCACAAGTACAGAGCGGGCCAATCAAAATCACTAATGAGATTATTAAGCTTCGTAAACTCGGCTTTACGAAAGCAGCGGACACGTTCAGATAGCCTACCCATTCGATCCAATACACTAGGACCAATATCGACTGACACTTCGAATGTATGATGTTGACTTGAGACAGGGATAGGTCTAGCAAGCCGTCGTAAAAGTCATGTCGTGACATGGGCACAAGGTTATTAGACTCGTTTACCGAAGACCAAACAGTACCTGGCAAATTGAAATCACCAAAAACTATCATATAGTCTTTATCTGTTAGCGAGGAAGAAACAGTTTTTAAAGCGGACAGGTGATGCTCGTATATTAAGATATCCGAGGAAGGTGGAATATACGAGCAAGTAATGAAAATGGAAAAGCCTGGGAGAATCAGTTTTACGCACAGGAATTCCAGGTCTTGTTGAACCTGGACCATGAAATGTTCCGACGTGAAGTTTGAGTCCACTGCAATAAGGACCCCACCTCCACGTCGAGACAAACGGTCATTTCTAAAAATTGTGTACCGACCTGCCAAAACTTCGGAACTAAGGATGTCCGGCTTTAACCAGGTCTCGGTAAACACAATAACGTGGGACGGGAATGCGAGACTCTCAAGGAAAAGAGTGCTGAGCTTACTACGCAAGCCTCTAGCCTTCTGGTAGGTAACTACAAGAGAGGAAGTTAGTTTTTTGGATGGGTGGAAGTAGAGGTGGAAGATGAGGATGGAGATGGAGCACTGGTCTGAATACTAGGAAGAGTAATGGGGGGCCTATTCTTTTTCTTAGCCTTAAACTATTAAACAACCAAATGCTCCGGCCAAAACTTGGCGGAATAAATGGTTTCAAATTGAGTTGGGGAGACGCTTATCTTGAAGGAAGATATCTCCCTGGCGTAAGAAAAGTTAAATTTTTCCACCTTTTATTTTGCTTTGTATAAAAGCGGTCACATTATTGGATGTGAGGTTTCTAACTGCATACCCTCCGAAGTGACGCATTCGGCTCCCGATTCTGCATCACCAGCAGAGATCGTTGCCCTTGGAGTAGCAAACGCAATCAACTGCTGCACTAAGGGAGTGGTCGGAGTAAGTTTTTCAGATGCCGGCGGACATGAGGCAGTCGGCACTTGCAAGTCCCGCGGAGTAGACTTCTTGCGCCTCGGAGACTCAGCCAGCAGCTGTAAACTGCTGAACTGAGTGTTCATGGCCAAGAGCCGATCATACTGCTGTTTTAAGCCTACGATCAGCTCTTTGAAGCCACTCCGCGTCTGCCTCATGAACGAACGCATGTCGTTTTCCACAGCACGGCATTCCTCACAACTATAATGTAGGCCGTTGTTTTGGGAAATGGCGTCTCCTACACGGCCCGACATCCCTACACATTCTGCGTGCACTACGCTTTCGCAAAGCCAGCAGTGGATATTAGGCTGGTCATGGGTGATCTGCTTCTTGCTGGTTTTTTTGGCACAGACGACAGAAAATTCCATATTTATGTCTTTTATTTTTTTTTACTTCGGGAAAAAAAAGTTCAAAACAAATAGCAATCAGACCACTGTGCAGAGCAAATGCTTGGAGCAATGCTTAAAGCGAAATCGGTAAAAGATGAGAGAGGAGAGTGGTTGCAGCAACAGCTTATAAGTGAGAGCGTTACTGCACAAAAAGTTACAAGAGCGAGAGCGAAAGAACAGTTATTGAGAGTTAGGTGATAGAGAGAGTGATAGCGGCTAAATGTAATGAGAGGGCGTACTTACGAAGAGCAACAACACAAACACACGACTAACCGACGCACAAAATTTTTTAAATAAGTTGTGTTTTTACACAATTATCAGGCATGCACCCGCGGTAAAAGTATGATTTTAATGTAAGTTAGTTAGAGAGTTAAATTATAGATAAAAAAACACCGGCCGTTTAAGTTAAACAAAAGGAAAATGCGGAGCGCAAAACAAAAACACGTCTGGTCACTACGAAAGAGAACGAAAGTGTTATATGTTAGCAACATAAGTATTATTTCACGATCCATTGAAATGTATTCACATACACACTAACACTACCTCACCCGAATGTATGTATGCTCAGAGAGCGCTTGAGAGAGTAATAAAGTCAGTTCGATTTTAGTTCTCACCCTGAACACAACGTTTTCTCCATACCGAAACACAACATTTTGGCGACGAGGATAAAACAACAACAATGGATAGAAATTCCACAGACATAAGTGCATTGTTGGCTCAACAGCAACAATTCACAGAAAAGTTAATGCAACAGCAACAACAATGGATGGAAGCCATGCTCGCACAAAACAATGGTGTTAATAGATCAGCAGAATTAACAGCTTGTCCGCCGTTCCCAAGTTTTAATAAGGATCAACAAAATTGGGAGACGTATTTACAACAAATTTCGCAGCATTTCGCCGCGTATTCCGTTACCTCCGTCGAGAAACAAAAAGCATATCTTCTATCGTGGGTAGGCTCAAAAGTTTTTGAACTTGTAAAAAATCTGTTTGGTAGCGAACATTTGGAGCAGCAGTCATATACACAAATCACAGACAAATTATCGGAGCACTTCAAACAGAAGCGTCACATTGTTGCTGTTCGATATGAATTTTTTAAACGTCAGATGCGGGACTCACAATCACATAAGGAATGGGTAGCTGATCTACGTGGTATAGCTCGTGAGTGTCAGTTTGCTTGCAACGCCAATGGGTGTACATACAATTATGTTGACGAAATGATACGCGATCAAATAATTGTACACACGCCATTCGAAGCCGTACGCACAGCCGCTTTGCAAAAGCTTCAGCCTTCCCTCGCTGACGTACTCGCAATTGCCGAAACGTACGAGGCAACAACGAAAACAGTCGCGGTCATAAAGGAGAGAGAGAACAAAGCACTGGACATGAACGCTGTACACACACATAAGCAACATCAACAGAAACGAAGTGGTATGGAAACAAAAGAAGGCAAGAACACTCTCAAATCTTGCTCCGGTTGTGGAAACACGCACACTCGTGAAAATTGTAAATTTCGCGAGGCTACTTGCCATAAATGTGGAAGAAAGGGACACATAGCTATCGTTTGCATGTCAAAGCAGTGCAAAGATATGAAAGAAAAAACCGGGAAAGAGAATGATCACCAAAAATACCAAAACAAAGCAAAACATGCAGAATCAGTTCAAACAATTCACATCGTGTCAAACCTGGTACAGTTGGATGGAAATAAAAATTTAATCGACCTGCAAATCTTCAACGAAATCATTTCTTTCCAAATGGATTCTGGCGCAACTGTGTCTGTTATGAATTTGAAAACTTACAAACAACTCAAAAGTCCAAAGCTGCGGAAGTGTGATCGCATTTTGCATGCGTTTGGCCAACAACAAATCCCCGTGCTGGGTGAATTGCACACTGTAGCAAAGTGTGGCAATAAATTGGCAAATGTTGTCATAATTTGTTTCAGACATTCAATTTCGAAATTCAACAAATTTCAAATGTGAGTCAAGTGCAGGGTTCTCAAATGACTGATCTTTGTAACAAGTACAAAGAAGTATTTGAACCGGCTATCGGTACAATAAAAAACTTTAAGGCAAGCATCTACTTAAAGCAAAATTTCGTGCCGAAATTCTACAAAAGCAGACCAATTCCATTTGCTCAAATGGAAAAGTTCAAGGAGGAAGTTAAGCGTCTCACAGATGCCGGTATTTGGAAAGCAGTCAAATTCAGCAACTGGGCATCACCAATAGTACTAGCACCCAAGCCAGGTGGAGCACTACGGATCTGTGGCGACTTCAAACAAGGTGTCAATTCACAATTGGACATCGAGCAATATCCACTGCCAACACGTGAGTCTTTATTACATACGATCCGTCACGGCACCCATTTCTCCAAAATCGACTTGAAAGACGCATATCTTCAAATGGAGTTAGATGATGCGGCAAAAGAACTTATGGTCGTCAGCACGCCATTGGGTCTCTTCCAATACCAACGTTTACCATATGGAATAGCGAGCGCTCCAGCTATATTCCAGCGTCATCTTGAACAACTTCTGAGTGGCATAGAAGGTTGTGGAAATTACCTAGACGACATAATAATCTCAGCTCCAACAGTTGAGCAGCACCTTGCCCGCCTCGAACAAGTTTTACGCATTCTACGAGAGAATGGCATTAAATGTAAGAGGGAGAAGTGTTTCTTCTTGAGAGACGAAATTGAGTATCTCGGAAGAAGAGTAAGCATCAAGGGCATCCTTCCGGATACCTCGGGACTAGAAGCTGTGAAGATATTGAAACCCCCCATTAATCTACAGCAGCTGGATGCTTTCATGGGAAAAGTTAACTACTACTGCAATTTCATCCCCAATTTTTCTCAGCTAGCGTCTCCGCTCAATCAGCTTCGAAGGAAGAACGTAGTCTTCAAATTCGGTCGGAGTCAGCAGCAGGCTTTTACAGCTTTAAAAGCACACATTCTCAACGCTACAGAACTAGCACATTTCAACGAGCATCTACCGCTTGTTCTAGCCACCGATGCATCTTCATATGGCATTGGTGCGGTATTGTCACACACTCAAGCAGATGGTAAGGAAAGACCAATAGCATTTGCATCTAAAACCTTAGATATCCACCAGGTTCGATACAGCCAAATAGAAAAGGAAGCACTCTCGATTGTATTTGGGGTAAAGAAATTCCATCAGTACCTTTACGGCAGAAAGTTTATTCTCATTACGGATCACAAGCCATTGGTCACGATATTCAACCCAAGCAAGCATCTGCCTACGATGACTTCGAACAGGCTTCAACGTTGGGCTATAATCTTGATGGCATACAACTTTGAAATAAGGTATCGCAGCACCACAGCTCATGGAAATGCAGACGCACTCTCACGTCTTCCTATCAGCTCGGATGAAAAGTTCGACACAGAAGAGGTATGCTACAATGTCGTCGAGATGACATGTCCAATAAATGCCGACATAATCTTGCAACATCTTCAAAACGACCGTACTCTAAAAAAGGTCTATCAATTCGTATCTACTGGTTGGCCAGAACAACAGCAGGATCTCGAAATGTTGCCATATTATAATCGTAGATTCGCCCTGACGATTAACAACAAGCTACCATGTCTCCATTCTGACGTAAATAGAATCATCATTCCTCAAACTCTACGGAATAAGATTGTAAATATCCTCCACGAGGGTCATTGGGGAATAGTACGCATGAAACAACTGGCACTACAACACGTGTGGTGGCCAGGTATCGACGATGATATCGCAACAATTGCAAAGGATTGTAGCGTTTGCAAGATAGGCAATCCAGCCCCAGTAAAGGAATTCCAGAGCTGGCCAAAAACGACATCCGCCTGGGAAAGAATACACATCGACTTTGCCGGTCCTATATTTGACTCCATGTGGTTAATTTGCGTCGATGCACATTCTCAGTTTCCGTTCGTAGTACAAATGACAGCGACAACAACAGAAAACACTATAGCCGCACTTACATCCATTTTTGCCATTGAGGGTTATCCTAAAACTTTAGTCAGTGATAACGGGCCTCAACTTTCATCCGACTCGTTTAATCAGTTCTGTCAGCTGCATGGAATAAGCCACATCACAACCGCCCCATTTCATCCAGCATCAAATGGACTTGCTGAGCGCTTCGTCCAAACATTCAAAACGTCCGTCAGCAAAAATATAAAGGATGGATATCGAGTCAACACAGCCGTAACAAAGTACCTCAGCACGTATCGTTTCACACCTAACTCTGAAGGAAAAACACCTGCAGAACTTCTTCATGGTCGTCCGGTTCGAACGATCTTAAGTCAACTCTTCGAGAAGAGATCTGAAAGCAAGCAGACGCAGCAAACAAAGTATTCTCCTAATCAGAAAGTTTTTGCCAGAAACTATGCAAGGGGAGAAAAGTGGATAAAAGCTATCATCGATCGGCCTATAGGTCGTATGTTATTTATCCTTCGTTCATCCACAGGTTTCATCAAGCGCCACATAAACCAGATAAAGCCAAGATCTGACCCTGATAACTGCAGCTCCAGCTACAACGAGGACAACAATAAGTTTTGGTGGGCTCCTGAAGTCTCAAGTTCGCCCGCAACTCCGACGACACTAACCCAAGAAGAAGAACCGTCATCCGATCCAGTACAGAATTCTCAATCTATTGCTGGCTCCAACGAAGTGCCTGCAGCATCTACACAAAACGTTCTACAACAACCCCAACAACGACGTTCGGGTATCCCCATCCGTAGCAGCACTCGCCAACGCAGAGTCCCCAGCCGCTACTCGCCTTAGCCTTAGAGGAAACGTAAAAATCATTAACAAACCGTAATTTAAGGGGAGAGATGTGTTATATGTTAGCAACATAAGTATTATTTCACGATCCATTGAAATGTATTCACATACACACTAACACTACCTCACCCGAATGTATGTATGCTCAGAGAGCGCTTGAGAGAGTAATAAAGTCAGTTCGATTTTAGTTCTCACCCTGAACACAACGTTTTCTCCATACCGAAACACAACAGAAAGGATATAAAATATTACTGGCGCCCAACGGCGGATCGTAATTTTAATTAGTCCAACGACCCGATAAAAGTGAAAAGTGCAATACTCATTCAGCGCGGAGACAACGCCTGCTGCACGAGTCGCGCGAAAAGAAGTGCAAGAAGTGTATAGTGGGGTCGATAAACACAGACAAGCAAGTGCATCGCGAACAAAACCCACTGTGTGTGAATTACTTAGCGCGGTCGAGGATACCCGCTACGAACAGTGAGAAGTGAGGTACAGTGCGGAGACAATACTATACTGGTTCTGTTAGTGCAGATCAGGTGAAAATACAAACCAACACGATCACACTCGCAGCAGCGAGCCACGAGAGAAAGAAGCTGAAGGGCCATCCCTCGCTATTTCATAAAATCTAAAAAAGGAAAAAATTGGCTGAAGGGCCGATCCCTCGCCTAGAACTAAGAAATAATATCATCAAAACAACAAAACTGTTACACCAAAATGGGTGGCTTTGGGCAGCGGCGAAGAGAATAAAAACACGATACCACAGAAGTTAATTTGCATCTAAATTTTTATCTAAGGAAGACATGTAAGTGAAATTTCAAATTTTAACGAGGATTTTTATATTTGAAGAGTTCGTGAGCCTACTTTCCAATTTTTTAGCTGGTGTATAACAGTATGAATCCCAATTCTGTGGAACGCTTTGGTGAAGCGAGATTACTGTTAGATGTTTTTTTCAGGGCAATAAGCCTGGTGGCTGTTGCAAATCAGGTTGTATGAAAAACAAACCACTACAACCTTGTCAGTGGTCCCACGGAGTTGCCTTCAACGGCCGATATATCCCCACGAGAATTATGTTTTTTCGTAAGCCCGTTTTATTCTGAATAAGTAAAGATGGTCACATATTCTCATACAAGTCTCACAAATATTCTTACCGCAGTATTTCCTCCTGCTCTAACCACGCGAAAATACAAAAGTGCAGCTTAAAATGCTTCCGAAAATATTCCCGTTCATTCCAGGGTTCAAAATCCATACATTTCATATACGTTCATCTAGATGTACTAAAATACATATCGCTACAGATAACCGTCCCGCGACATCCCCGACCCCGTGAAGAACCGCTTCACTCAAATCCAAAACCGCCAGTTCGGAGACGGGACTCATCATAATCCTGGATAGGCCGCCGTCGTTCACGCACTAGCGCGTCTAATGACTCCATCAACTCTTTTGTAGACCTCCTCCACGATTCCCTTACGTCACTCTTTTCGCAGATGAAGACCATGTCACCTTGGCGAATCGGCTCCGTCCTTTGGCGCCACTTCTCTCGTCGCACGAGTGTAGGCAGGTACTCCAAGACCCACCTCTTCTAGAAACGGTCCCTCATTAGTCGCGCTATTCCGAAATTCCTTATCGCAATTATACAGGAATCCGTCGACAGGTCATACGCCAGTTCCAGATGAAACAGGTCGTTAAGCATGTGAACAGGGCAACCCATCGCTTCTCCTTGTGACGCGTCACTGTCACCAACAGTGGTCAGAAGTAATCCAGCCCTCTATTTTTGAACTGCCAAACATTGGCCTCCAAGCGATCTTCCGGCAGGGTTATTGGCGGCGTCGGCCGCGCACTTTGAAACTTGCACACGTTGAACGCTGAGATCACCCTTTGTAGTACACGTCTCAGCTTCGTAGTCCAGATCCTCGTCCAAAACTCCGTAATCGTAGCATCCACATTTTGATGCTTTATCTTGGCGTGGAAATGATGCGCAATCATCTTCGTGAGACTGTGCCAGAACTAACGGCCTCCTCGCACTGTACGGCATGCAAAATGCGGCATCAACTCTGGCATAGGCTCTCAGAACTCCAAGGTCATCTTATGTAGGGTGCCAGTCTGCTGTCGACCGCATCTCGTTTGGAAACGCTTCACGTGGTGCCTGTCTCACCAACAGGTTCTCCGGGGCCTGCAGTAAGGCTCGCTTCTTTGCCACGGCACCAGCGCGTGAACCCAGGCTGTAGTCCTGAGTAGCCGACTGTAGCTCGAGAATCTCTGAAAGGAAATCCAAAAGTCGTTCGCACCAACCTGCGAAAACTCACTTGGCATCTCTTCTTCGTCGTTACCATCCGGACCTGCTTCAATTCTGGATTCAGGCTGTAGCCAGCTGCCCGCTGGCTGCCTCAAGAATGGTGGTCCGCCTAGCCAACATGACTTCTGGCTCAGGTATTTTGTTTGTATTTTGTACTTTCCATCCTAGCGCGAGAAGCATATAAATACTTATAAATTAAGTCACAACAATTCTAATAGTTATTAACATTTAAAAATTCAGAATACATAGTATTATTTAATAGTAATTACAGTTAGAATTATAATTGAACTTATGTACTAACATTTACTGACAGAATATATTTAATTTCATTTCTATAGGTCTCGCTCTCTCTTCATCCATCCCCACTATTAAAAACTTTAAATTATTAGAGTTAGGCAGTGCGCAGATGTTCCTCCAGTGAAATCTTGAATTGCTTCGCGCCACTTATGGCCTTAAGGCCGTGGGGAAGTTGGTTCCAAATGCGGACAGCATATACAAAGAACTGCCGCATTGTGCAGGAGTACTTGTATTTAACTGTCATAATGTTTCTGGTCCTTCTTGACGTGCTAAGCCTTAATCTTTCGTATAGGTAACAAGGTTCTTTGGTGTATATAATTTTCTGCAATAATATGGTTTGTCCAGGATTTAAGTGGCATATCGAATATCTTAATCATTACGTTAGAAATACGGTCAGTTCTGTTTCTATTATTAATATATCTCGCGATATTATTAAAAGCAATTTGCAGCTTTTGTTGGCTAGCGGAGTTACAGTCACTAAAGACTTCGATGCCATAAAGAAGTACTGGTGTGAGGTATATTGTTGCAATTGTTTGTTTGATTTTCAGTGGTAAAAAATCTTTCGTTATGTTTAGCGATCTAAGGATTCCATATGTTTTTCCGACTGATTTACTTATGTGGCCATCCCATGTCAACGTTTGATTAAATGTAAAACCCAAATTATTGGCCCGTTTTACATATTCAATCGATATTTTTGTAGAGTGTCAGTGTTGAACTGTCTTTTACCTATGACTATACATTTTGACTTATTTGGGTTTAATCCTAGCCCATTGATTTTTGCCCACTGACTTATGGCTTTTAATTCACTATTACAAACACGAACACAGTCATTAATTCTACTAATAGGACAGCTAACATACATTTGAACGTCATTAGCATATATATGTACTTCACAATTTGTCAATACACTCGGAAGATCATTAATATACACAGAGAATAGTAATAGACCGAGGACAGATCCTTGAGGAACTCCACGCTTGAGACATAGGAAAGACGAATACACATTGTTAATGGACACAGTCTGCATCCGATTACTCAAATAAGAGAAGATCAGCTTTATTGCTGCACTCGAAAAATTACATAGATGACTTAGTTTAAAACAAAGAATTTCGTGGTTAACCGTGTCAAAAGCTTTACTATAGTCTAAAAGAGTCAAGAACGTTATATTGTCATTGTCCAATTTTTCTCCGATACCTTCCACTACGTTTATTATTTCTGTTGTACAGCTTCTTCCCACACGAAAACCTGACTGTTTGTCAGTCGAGAGTTTATTAGCTGTCAAGTAATTTGTCATCTGACCAGCCATAGTCGTTCTAACACTTTTGATAATAAAGGTAAAATGGAAATTGGCCTGTATTCGTTGGCAGATTTTGGAATTAGTAGTATTTTGACTACTTTCTAAAAATCAGGATTTATTGATTGAGTCAATGCTGTGTTGTATAAGTGGGTTATGTATGGCATTATTTTTGGCAATAACAATTTAATAAATTTTGGATTTATATCATTAATGCCAGTGGCATTTGAATTAATTTTTAACATTGATTCGAGGACATCTAACTCAGTTACACATGAAAAACTAAAACTATTATCACAGGTACCATTATCACAAAAGCAGTTTACATCATCACAGTTTCTATATAGATTTTGGGGCAAATGCTCAACATAGTCAGTTTTAGTCACTTCAGGTACTTTGCAGTCTAAAAATTGTTCATTGAGTACATCAGGATCGAATACCCAGCTGCATAATGTAGGACCATGTCTGCTTGTTTGATGTTCCCTTAATGAATTTTTTAAACAAATATTTGAGTTTCTCTGAGTTGTTTAATTGTATCACCTTCTTCCTAAGTAGCTTATACTGCTCAGCATGCTGGCTAGTTTTTTACCGCTTCCATTTTCGAAATGTTGAACCATGGATTGCCACGAGATTTATCAGTTTTTGCCACTAGAGGTATTGATCTCCCTGCAGTTCTGGCTGTCACGGCATGAAAGTGTCATAGGAAAAATTGTTCGGGCTGGACGTAAACAAAGGCGTTGACGTCGACGTCAGCATGAAATTCTGACCAGCTTCAACTGCTGCAGATCGAAGCTGACTCGTAAGAAAGAGAAGCAGATATCCATAGACTTCCCTCTCTCTCATATTCTTAGTTTTCTGTACCTGCATTTGACCCTAACTCTTCTACTCTCGCGCATTTCGTCTCCTCAAAGGGATGTGGGGAGAAAACCCGATTATTTGGTGCAATCTTTTGTTGCGAGCGGCTGTGATTTTTTTGAGTTGAGCGTCTATTTATATGTTTATTCCTTTTAAAAGTGGTTTTTCAGTGTTGTTAAAGTCAGGTGAGTGGATTCATTGATTACAGTGCGCGTTGTTAGTTAAATTAAATTTGTACATGGGTTTCGCAAGAACAAATATGTTTAGATTCTAGAACATTCAAGCGGTGTGGTCCCGTTAAGCATGTGCGTCGCTGCGCGTGTTTGTTTTTGCTCGAGGAAACCCATGTAACTGCAAATACAGCATTTTTAATTAAAAAATATATATGTATGTACAAATTGAATTATTTATTTACAGATCCAAACATTTCTGGTTGCTGGAGAAGGACCCATTGCCTTAAAA